GGACATCTGTCCGCTGTTGGGGTGCTTGGCGTTGCCTAATTTTCAGATCCGCCTCGTAACGGATCCCGTCAATTGACTCCAAGGCTCTAGCGAGTTGGCGTGCACAGCGTTGGCGCTGCCTTTGACGAGCTCTCTTTGATAAAATGGGCGCGCCTTCTGTACTCAATTCCTTGATTGAGGAGGAGTTCAGATCTGCAGATCCGGACTCATTGGAGACCGGAAGGGCGTTGTAAGGTTCAGCTAGCGCAACAACGGGGGCGTTGATCTTCCTTCGCTTGCGAGAGGCGGAGGATCTGGAGGAGGAGGACGACAGATATTCCTCGAACTTCAGTTGGTCGAACTCGTATTCGACCACTTCTTCAACCGGGATGCAGATCCGAGGTTGCGACACGACAGCTCCGGAAGCGAAGCTGTTGGCTCCCACTGTGGTCGCCAATTTGTTTGCGTCGAAAATTAATGTATTCATTGCGGTATTCATTACAACTTCAATCGTTACAATGAATTACACAATGAAAATAAAAAGTTACAACTCTCGTCAAAACAAACACAGAGATCGTTTATCGGTCTTCTGTTTGCGTGGGATCTTTGCCTGTGTCGGGGTTTATCCATGGACCGCCTTAGATCTGGATCCGGTTGATGGAAAATTCGGCAGAGCTTCGCCTTCGCCGAGGAAGTATTTGATTTGAAGCGCTGAAATCGACCAAGCGAAATCAGGGCTCTTCTCGAGATTAAGACCAAGCCTAATCTCAAGGGACGGACGGACAGGGTTCAGATCCTTCGAATAGCTCCTTCTTTATGCCGAAGTTCGCCGGGATCTAATTTGCCTTCGCTGAAATTCGTGCTCCTTGACTCCTCAATCCAGCAGCACATCCACGTCTTGATAATAACTCCGCCCCGCTGAAAGGAGGCCCTAGGCTTGTATTTATAGGGCTTCAGAAGCGGTTATTTGGATGAGAACAAGTGATTTGGCTCTATCTTCAGTCGACAACAGCCTAACCATGTTTGGGGATGATCTCAAGCCAGTTAAGAACCCCTGGAACAGATGAATCCTGCGAAAAAACCACTTTAAAACCGTCAAAACGTGTTTCGTGTACCAAACTGCGCGGCAGACTGGTCCGACCCGCGCTTGCGCGGGTCGGGTTGATCCGTCCCGCGCTCGTGCGGGTCGGTTTGTTCCGTCCCGCGCTCGCGCAGGTCGGTTTGTTCTGTCCTGCGCTCGCGCAGGTTTGTCGATTTTTTCTTCTTTTCCGTTCTCTTTCTTCGAGACTTGTCCTTTCGCGTGTTTGGTTTGTTTCGTTGATTTGTATGCTTTGAGTTGATTGACGCGTGCTAGCCGATTAACGTGCGCGTGTTGATCGACGTGCACGAACTGATTGTCACGCGCGTGTTGATCGACGCGCATGAACTGATTAACGCGCGCGTGTTGATTGACGCATACGAGCTGATTGGCGCGCACGAGCTGACTGTCGAGCGCGCAGGTCACTTGATTCGTCGTTTTGCTTCAGGCGCTTGTCGGCGTCAGATAATCCTCTTAGACTCGGATAACGATGTTCGTCGTCTTCTCTCTGTCTCGAGCTGTGTGCGGACACCTATAGGTATTTTTAGACGCCTACAATTATTAATGAAACATTATTCATGCTTCTCCAAAACCTCAAAGACCTAATAAAAGAGAGAGAGAGAGAGCGCATATATATATATATATATATATATA